GGACTATTCCCACAGTTTATGCAAATGCTGGTTCTACACTATTGGTAAGATTGCTTTGTGATGATTTTTTTTCTGGCTCTCATGCCTGCTATCTATTCTTCTTTCTTATTTTATTTAGACAATTAGACCCCATTGGGGCCCATTAGGGATGGATTTACGGGAAAGGGAAAAGATATGGTTTGTCCTTGCACAATCCAGAAAAAATTGATTGAACGTGCCAAAAGTTACTGTAATGCAAAATGCTGTCCAGCATGAGTCTTGATTGCATTTGACGTTTAAATTTAGTTTTTAAACATTTTCCACATAACTCTAAAAGTACTTCCCTGCTGCAATATGTTAGAAGTATTTTATGAAAATGCTCTTCCACCAAGGAGCTTTATCTACTCGGGACCTCATTCAAAAATAGGCTCTAGTATATTCTAAACGGGGATTATTTGCAGGAACTCATTCAAGCAAAACCTTCCGTGATTCCATTATCATCTCAGGATCTATTTAGCATCCTTGATGATGCTAGTGAGAGAACATTCCTATGTGCCGGTACAGCTGAATCAGTGCAAAAGTATATATTTTACACCAATGTTAAAAAGGATTGTCATGACTCGAAGAATGTAATTGCATGCACTTGCTTTCTTTTTGAGCAGAAGCTGGTATTTCCTTCTCCATAATTACAAACGAGTAAAATTATTTGTCATATAGTCACTTTAATGCCCACTGCTTTCCTTTTTTTATTTTAGATGAAAGCATGGCTTGCAGACAAAGACGCTGAGGCATTGAGATGCCAAAAGCTGCTCATTGAGGAGGAGGAAGCTGCCAAGAGGAGGTATGGTCTATTTTTGTAATTTTAGTGGAATTTTTATGAGGATTTCTTCTCTTAGAGTATGTTTGTATCCTGGGATGTGAAAGGGAAATGAAAACAATAGGTAAGCAAGTTATTTGCATATGTTTGGCTTTACCTTGGGAAATGCAAAGAAAATTATTTTTGTATAAATATTTGGATTTACTAGTTTTCAATAATGTAAATGAATACACAAACAAAATGCGGTATAAAAAATACGGAGTATGTAAATAGTTTTATTGAATTTGAGTGTATATTTTATTTTCCCTCAAATTTAACTTTACTACATATTTTCTTTCCCTGTCACAACAGACCCATAACAGAAGAGTTTGTTTGATTTATTTGAGTATTTAAGCTTCTTGGACATTTTGATCATTTATTTTTAATGAGTTATATCTACTAAACGCATACTTGCAGGCAAACCGAGTTGTTGGAAAAGAAACGGCAGAAAAAACTGAGGCAGAAAGAACAGAAAGCAAAGGATCAGCAGACTTATGAGGGAAAAGTGAATGTCAGTATGACTGCTGCTGATTCTTTAGATGATGATCCACTAATGGTAGAAGAATCATCAAGTCCCCCATCAACACTGTCCGATTTCAATTCCAGTACTACACATGATCCACTAGTGGTAGAGGGAACATCAAGTCCCCCATCAGTTCTGTCAGATTACAATTCCATTACTACCCATGGTACATCAACCGACAAATCATCCACCATAGAAACAATTCACTTTTCACTTGTAGATACAGATATTGAACAGCTTGATTTCTTCAATGAACCCAATCCCGTGCTTCCAACCACCCGACGACAATTTTCCAATAGTCACTGGTGGCAGGTACAGCAGTCTCAGAGGATTTGGCGAAATGGAATCTCTATCAATCGAGATCATAATAATCCTACAAAGAATGGTAAGATATGGACGAAGAAAGTCAGGGTAGAAAACGATACAAGTCCAAGTCAAGGAGATGAATGTGAAGTGATAATTGGGTGTATTTCGGTTCCAGTGAAAAAGGGCATTACGTGTGATCAACTGGAGAACAATAACTCTTTGTCAAAGAAACATGATGGCACAAACAAGCTTTGGAGGCCTGTGAGCAGCCATGTTGGAAGCAGAGGCAGACAAGATAATGTGGATGAACTTCCATCAAAAGATGATAATAATACTGTTATAGCCAGTAGGAATTGTGTGCGATCCTTCGATATGGGTAATTGCAACACGAACAGTTTGGGTAAAGTCTTGGAAGTTGATACACATGGAAAATGTTTGCGGTTCTCCAGTAGTGCTGTGAAAGAGTTTCTTGCACAGAGTAAGTTCTCATTTTCTCCTGATCTTTATTAATCTCGCCTTCTCACAGTTATTTAATGTTCTCTAATCTCTGTTTAGTGCCCATTTGGGCTTTTGGTTAACACCTCCCGCTTATCAACATTATCAATCAATTTTTTTACTACACTTACTCATTTGGATGTGGTGAGTGGTAACTAAATCGCTGATTATATCAAACAGTAGGGCATAATTTATTTTATTCAATTTTTTTTTTGTGTTTTACTTTCTTCGTCCCTAAACAAGCTTGACCCTTGCTTTTGCACATGTATTACGATTTTTAGAGATTGTGTGGTTTAGATTTAAAAAGGAAATTATAATTATCAGTTTCCTTCTCTTGAAATGGACTGGAAGGTTTCTGGATACAGCTAAGAAAGAAAATTTGAAGTTTATGAAGGGACAGATCTATGTTTTTTGTAAATATGTCTGTCATTTGAGCTACCATTTCAACAACTTCAGCCGATTGAGTCACTTCAACATATAAAAGGGTAGCCCGTTACACGAAGGCAGTGGTGGACACAAAGTGGGGCAAGTGGGGGCCGCCCCCCATTTTTTAAACTGGATATAATCACTCCAAAATTTTTAATATATATATGTATTAATATGTATATCGTATAACTTACACTACCGCCCCTCGAGTCGGGAATTTATGCGTCTGCCACTGCACGAAGCCATCTCTGCAAGGCGAGGGTCCAGAGAAGGGTCCCACCAGGCCACCACAAGGATGTATAAGGAGCAAGTCTTCCTCTGACAAGAGGTCCCTCCCAAGACTTGAACCTATCATGCCATAACCTCTCACTCACAGAGCAACACCTTAATCGGTGTGCCAAGACTCCCCTTCAACCTACTCGGCTAAATCATTAGATGGACTGTATTGTGCTTTTTTGGTGTTTGAGTTGCTGATTAATTTCAACCAATGTAGGATGGAAGGAGGCCATTGCAGCAGATCACGAGATATTAGTCCTCTCCCATGTCCCTGAATCTTTAGCGTGCCTCAATGCTCGATGTAGAAGTCCAAAAATTGGAGTGGTCAATCTCAACTGGAAGTCTACAACAAAACCAGACAATGGTATTCACAAGCACGTTTTAAAACCAAAAAACTGATATTTGGACAGCGGAGAAGAGTTTTGTTATTTTAGGAATAGCTGCTTATATACCCTTGTGGGGGACCCTTCCCCAGATCCTCCCTTGCGGGGATGGCTCTGTCCACCAGGTTGCCCTTTAGGAATAGCTTTGAAGTCAACTTTGAAAGTGGTCTTCTGATAGCAACTGAAAATATTGAAAAGTATTCTTTGTAGCAAACATTTTTTGAAGAGCAATAACTTTGTAGTTCTGCTCACTTCAGCCTGTCTGTATTATTTTCCTTTTTGCATTTCTTTCATTTTGCGCAGCAAATTTTTCTGTAATAAGTTGTAATTTTCATAAATTACTAATAAGTTCTTTGACTTCTTGATTGGCCTTTGTGAATTTTGATGCCTCGTTATAATGTTATATCCAGCTGCGTGATCCCTCCCCTTTTACTGCCAACATTATATGGGTTGTAACTTGTGTTATAATATGAGAAAATTGTGGATGGATTTTTAAGTTTGTGATTTTACGGGTTTGTTTCATATTTAATGATCATAAAATGCTTGCTAACCAAACTGGCCGTCTTAGTGGTTCCTAGTATCGTCGGTCACTCGGTCCAGTTGCAAACCTAAGCTCCTGTTAGGTACTCGGTCCCAGTCTGGGTCCTGGTCGGTTCCAGATACTCGGATGGTCTTGTCTTGGGCGGTTAACAACTTCTATACAAAACTAACGAGTATCATTATGAAGATAAACTAACACGTTACCAATTTTCCCAATGATGTCTATCTCAACTGGTTGTATAATATAGTTACAAGTTTCTTTTGAAAAAGCAATATAATGGTCCTTAAATCTAAGAAGCCCAAAAATTAAATTATAAGTATTACTCCAACGAATAGACACGGTCTCTAGAAAATTAAATTATAAGTATTACTCGTTTAGCCATTTCAGCTAATAATGGGCTGAAATGTGTTAATTTCAGTCAATCATGTTATAGATGGCAATGTTTAGATGAAAGGCTTAAGTGACCTTAAGCTGGAAAAAATCAACGGAATCAAAACGTTCAACTAGGAGACGTTTCAATTCAGCCGCTTGTTTAATTCCTATAAAAGCCTTGCCGCACTCTTATGTTAACTTGCTGCACCACGACCTCTTAGAACACCCACGTTGGACTATGTGTATGTATACATCTCTAATACGGAGTGGAGTACGTAGTAAGTAATAACATGTGTTATTGGTGGTGAATGGAATATAATAGCGAATGAGATAAATCCTAAACTACAATTAGCTTTTGTTTTTTGAAAATATACTTAAATATCCGCATGCGGCATGCATAAACTAGTATCTTGGCTCAAATGCACAAGTGCAGTTTACTGCTGTGAGGACTTTCACTAAAATACTAATGCCTTGTGAAAATAGATGACTGCGGCGTGATAACATTTATCTTTGATGTTTAATTTTTCAATGATTTTGACTTGACAAATAATATATAAATGCATCCTACAAAATAACGTATCTAGAATATTGCGAAAACACAATTTTTTATTCAATTATATTATTTATAATATATTTTGAATTATTATAATTAGAGTTAGTTTTATTTAAATTCTTTTACTAAATAACCCAACTAAAATAATATTTAATACGAGTTTAATATTATTTTCTGATACAGAATCAGCACAATATGCCCTTCTCGTAATTTAACAAAAAAGTAGTTTTAAGTTTCAAGACTAAACAATTCTCTACTTCATACAGCAAAAGCACTACCAAACACACCTACCAGAATCAGTTTGTGGTACAATAGTAAATTATGCTTCTCCATTAAAAATAGACACAAAAATAAGTATCAAAATGACCAATATCCAGGTACAGCAGTTTTTCCCTTTCTGAGTTGTGTTCTATATACAGGATGAGGTAGTTAATGGTTTTAGCTACTTGACTTGTGAAGGGATAACTATTTATTAAAAATTCTAAATCTTCTGGCAAGAGTTTGGAAGAGGGGGAACAAAAATATCAACCTGTAATTAGAGTCAAGCCAATAGCTGTTACAATAAGAGTGGAAGGAACACCAAATTTGAGATGGCTCCAGAATGACAAATTGTACCCCACATATTGAGCCCTACGAGCCTGCTCGCACACTATCAAGTTTGCAGCAGACCCCAAGAGCGAAAGATTCCCACCCACTGTGCTCACCCAAGCCAAGATAAGCCAAGCCTTCTTCTCGTTTGCCGGAGATATTTCGGCTGCTGAAGCTGCCACCCTCGCCCCTAACAGCAAAACTGTCACCAACCAAAAAACAACTTCAATTGCCTGAAAGGATACAACTAATGATGTAACAAATGATGTTACGGTCACACACAAACCTGTGGGTACATTTGAAGCTAAATTGGAGAGTAAGAGTATGACAGCACCAAGAACGGCTATTCCGCTAACGTGATCTATTTTGGCGTATGGCTCCATGAAATCCCAGACAGCACTTGGAAGCTCCGTTCTGTTAAAGCCGTCGATTGTGATGAACATCCCACAAAAGAATATCAACAATGAATATGATATCTGTGGAATGGTAAAGGAAAAAACATTGTTTTAGTTTAAAAAATAAATCCTCAGGTAAATTATACTCTGTTATGATAGGTTGAGAGAATCACGCAATCATAACAAGAACTAGCTAAAGAAAGAGTTTAAGCGAGAGGAAGAAGAAGAAGTTCGAGAGAAAGAGATTTCTTATTCATCAGAACTGCCCAACGATTTACAATAGTTTGTTTATATGTATTCGGTTACTAACAAACCAACTATTTACAGCCATTGATAGGATGATGAGGTGGCATCATCCTATTCATTATAAGTCGTCAAAGTAATTGTCAAAACAGTTTAGTTGTAATCCAGTGCAGCATAGAAGGCTTTATCCTAACATTTTCCCCTCCTTCCATTGAAGCTTGTCCCCAAGCTTTAATCTCCGGAAACTGTTTAGTTATTTTATCATAGTCTTCCCAAGTGGCTTCATCCTCTTGTAAGTGTCCCCATTTGATGAGTAATTGAACAGCAGCAGCATTATTCCTCTTAACTATCCTCCTGGCAAGAATTTCAGCTGGTCTCAGCATAGTATCACCATCTTCAGTCATAAGAGGAATACTACTGATAACTCTATCAGCAACTCCCACTTGTTTCTTTAGTACTGAAACGTGAAAGACTGGATGTATTTTACTTCCTTCAGGTAATTGCAGTTTGTAGGCCACGGCTCCCACTCTTTCTATAATAGGAAAAGGTCCACTATATTTGGGGCTCAACTTCCATATGTTGGATTTCCTCATACTTAGCTGTCTGTAAGGTTTAAGCTTCAAGTAAACCCAATCCCCAACTGCATATTCTCTTTCACTCCTGTTCTTGTCAGCTATTTGTTTCATCCTGTGCTTAGATTGTTGAAGTTGGTGCCTCAATTGCTCTGAAATCAACTGCCTTTGCTCAAGTTCTTGTTCAACTCCAACCACTGATAATTCTTTTCCCAGTCTGAATTCCATCATTGGTGGTTTATATCCAAAGAGAGCCTCAAAAGGACTCATTCCAATAGCTGTGTGATGACAACTATTGTACCACCACTGAGCTAATGAAAGCCATTTGCTCCAATCTTTAGGTGTCTTCCCAGTCATACACCTTAAGTAATTTTCTAGGCATTGATTAACTCTCTCTGTTTGACCATCTGTCTGTGGATGGTAGGCAGTGCTCAAATGGTGTTGCACTCCTAAAGATTTGAGGAGTTCTTTCCAAAATAGGCTGGTGAAGATTTTATCTCTGTCAGATATAATAGATTCAGGCAATCCATGAAATTTGCAGATGTGATTAATGAAAGTATTAGCTATCATAGATGCAGAGAAAGGGTGACTCAGAGCTATAAAGTGGCCAAATTTAGTGTATCTGTCAACTATCACTAATATAGTATCATAACCATTAGACTTAGGTAGTTTTTCAATGAAATCCATGGTTATATGCTGTCATGCCTGCTGTGGAGTGGGGAGTGGTTGCAGCAATCCTGGAGACCTAATATTCTCATGTTTGCATAATTGACAAATGGAGCATGCACTCACAACTTCCTGCACTGTTAATTTCACATTTGACCACCAAAATACATTTTCTACTCTTTTCAGTGTGCCCAGTACTCCTGAATGCCCCCTGAACTGCTCTCATGTATCATAATCACTATCTTCCTTCTTAAATCTCCATATGTTCCCACATACAACTTTCCTTTATATCTCAGTAATCCATTCCGATATGAAAAGTAACTGAGGTTATAAGGAATAGATATTAGTTGTAAAATGGCTTCTTCAGCTTCCTTATCTTCCTGATAGCTTGCACTTAATTCTTCTTGCCATAGTGGTCTGGTGACTGAAATGGTAATACACTTTCCCACTATATTTTCTTCTTCCTGGTCCCTTCTTGATAAAGCATCTGCTACTTTATTCTCAAAACCCTTCTTATATTCAATTGTATAATCATACCCCAGCAATTTGGTAAGATATTTATGTTGAGTAGGAGTGGATATTCTTTGGTTGACCAAATATTTGAGGCTGATCTGATCTGTCCTTATGGTGAATGGAGCATGTAACAGATATGCTCTCCACTTCTCAATAGCCAGTAGGATGGCTAAGAACTCTTTTTCATAAATGGATAGCCCCAGATTCTTAGGTCCTAAAGCTTTACTCACATAAGCTATAGGATGACCATCTTGTAACAGTACTGCCCCTAACCCTTCATAACATGCATCTGTCTCAACTATGAAAGGTTTTTGGAAGTTAGGCAGTTGCAAAATTGGTACAGTGCACATTGCCACCTTCAGCTCTTCAAAGGCTCTTTGAGCTTCTTCACTCCACTTAAACATCCCCTTTTTTGTTAATTCAGTTAAAGGTTTTGCTTTAACACCATACCTTGAGCAAAACTTTCTGAAATAACCAGTCATCCCTAAAAATCCTCTCAATGCTTTAAGGTTAGAGGGAATTGGTCAGTCCATGATACTCTTAACCTTTGAAGGGTCCACAGCTACTCCTTTAGAACTGATTATATGTCCTAAGTACTCCACTTGCGGAACTCCAAATATGCACTTAGATTTCTTTGCAAAGAGGGTATGATGTCTTAACAACTCAAATACTTGCTTGATATGTTTTTTGTGAGTCTCCATATCTGGGCTATAGATCAGTATATCATCAAAAAAGACCAGAACAAATTGTCTCAAATGCTGACTGAATATATTATTCATTAAGTTCTGAAATGTGGCTGGTGCATTGGTCAATCCAAATGGCATAACCACAAATTCATACAGTCCACTAGCAGTTGTAAATGCAGTTTTTTCAATATCTTCAGCCTTCATCCTCACCTGATGGTAGCCTGCCCTTAGGTCTATCTTAGAGAATATTGCTGCTCCTTGTAATTCATCTAACAGGTCATCAATTAATGGAATGGGGTAGTTGTTCTTGATGGTTATGGCATTCAACTTTCTGTAATCCACACAAAATCTCCAAGACCCATCCTTTTTCTTTACTAATATCACAGGACTGGAATAAGGGCTTTGGCTAGTTCTGATTACTCCAGTGTTAATCATCTCTTTAATCAGTTTTTCTATCTCTTGCCTCTGTATGTAAGGGTATCTGTAAGGAGCTTGTTTGAATGGTTTTTCCCCTGGTTTCAAATTAATTTGATGTTCACAAGACCTTGAGGGTGGTAAATCTGTAGGTTCCTGAAAAATATCTTGATAATCCCTGATAATGTCTTCCAATTCTGCTTCTTTGTGATCTCCAGATTCATTTGCTGATGCAGTCACCATACAAAAGCACTGAAAAATAGTTCCATGTCTCTTCTTCAACTGATTATTCATCCTTCTTCCTGTAATCATCTTAACTGATATTTCTGGTCGAATGCCTGGCACTACTACTTTTTGTCCTTTATGATCAAAAGTAATAGTATGATTGTCATAATCCAACATAATAGGTCCCAATCTTTTCATTAAGTCCACTCCCATTACCATATCATAACCCCCTAAAGGTAATATCCTGACACTGGCTGAAAAGCAATGTCCTGCCATCTCCCACTCAAATCTAGGACATTTTGAATTACATTCAATCTGTCCTCCTCCTGCTACCGTAACCTGTAGAGGATTAGTAATTTCAACCTCACAATTAATCTTCTTAGCGGCTCCAGGATCTATAAAGCTGTGTGTGCTCCCAGAGTCCACTAGTATAGTCAGATTATTGTTCTTAACTTTTCCTATCAGTTTGATAGTATCAGTAGGCATTTGACCTTTCAGAGCATGCAGGGATACTCCAAAACTGACCTCCTCGCTTTCATCATCATCATCTAATGGAGTGCTTAGATGATCTTCATGTTCTGTCAATAAGATAGCAAATATCTTTTTGCATTTATGCCCTGCTGTGTATAATTCATCACAATTAAAACACAGACCTTTCCTTCTTCTAGCATCCAATTCTTCTTTATTCAATCTTCTAATAGGTAATGATTTCTCATTAGGATTTATCATTTTGGTCTCATTTTCAAATCTGACTCTATGTTTTAAGGCCATTTTCCCAGTCCTCCCTACTGCTTCCAACAAAGATTCCTGCTTCTTAGCTACCAAAAAGGCTTGGTCTAAGGTTTCAGGATCTATCATTTCAACCATATGCCTTATTTCTTCCTTCAGTCCACTCAAGAAACTCTTCAAGAAATAGAAATCATCCAGAAACTTATTTCTTTGTAGCATAAAAGATTTCAGCTCAGAAAATCTATCCACATATTCATCAACTGAACCCTTCTGTCTTAATTTGTTGAATTCGCCAATAATATCATTATCTTTTGAAAACCGATCCAAGAACAGTAGTACAAATGCATCCCAGCCCATGGATTCTTTCCCAACAACTCTATCCATATACCAGTTTTCCATATTCCCAGAAACATACATTCCAATCAATACAATTTTCTCATAATCTGACATTTTATTGATTAGGAAATACCTTTCGCATTTTCGAATCCAACCTCTTGCGTTTTCACCATTGAATTGGGGAAACTCCAATTTTAGACCTCGTTGATGCCCTGGTGTGGAGATCAGTCCTGAATCTGATCTGCGAGGAGTATGTTCTTGATGAATATGACCATTGATTCCCTTGACAGCTGCAATAACCTCTTCGAATCGTTTCTCATTCAATTCCGCGAGCTTATTGAAGTCCATCCTCTGAACTTCATTGTATTTCTCCATTTCTTGCCTGATACTTGCCAAGTCTGTTTCCAATTGAGTAATACGATCTGTATTACTCATTTTCGCCATTGCAGAGGAAGAGTTTATCTGAGCTCTGATACCAATTGTTATGATAGGTTGAGAGAATCACGCAATCATAACAAGAACTAGCTGAAGAAAGAGTTTAAGCGAGAGGAAGAAGAAGAAGTTCGAGAGAAAGAGATTTCTTATTCATCAGAACTGCCCAACGATTTACAATAGTTTGTTTATATGTATTCGGTTACTAACAAACCAACTATTTACAGCCATTGATAGGATGATGAGGTGGCATCATCCTATTCATTATAAGTCGTCAAAGTAATTGTCAAAACAGTTTAGTTGTAATCCAGTGCAGCATAGAAGGCTTTATCCTAACATACTCCCTCCGTCCCATAAAATAGTTCCCGCATTGACTTGGATCGGAGTTTAAGAAAGTGGGAATAAAGTGGAAATGTATGGTTGTGGTTGTGTAAGAAAAAGGTAAATGAATGTGAGCCACTCAAAACTTTCCAAAAGGGGAAATATGAATTATTTTTTGGGACGGCCCAAAAAAGAAACCGGGAACTATTTTGTGGGACGGAGGGAGTATATATATATCCACCAAGATTTGATTAGACTATCTGATTCTGGTTTCTAAATTATTACTAAAAACTACAAAACTACTTGACCTGTTGAAGTTTTCGTGAATGACATTAAATTTTCGACCCATAGTATATTTGGAAACATTTGTGGTTAAAACCTATTAATGCTTCCCAAATTAAATATCAACCACATAATTTCACTTTTGAAAATATGCTTGCAACTTCCTCCCATTATTAGAGTATGGTATTATCACGTTCGGAGGAATCAAGTTTTCCGGACTAAAATACAATAAATACTCATTACAAACAGCCACATACGGTTTTCGATTTTTCGGACAAAAATACAATGAATACAATGACATTAGTAGGAATTGAGTTTTCGGACAAAAATGCCCTCAGTGTCTGTCCTCATTTTTTTTTTACAGAAAGCTTTATATATTTAGACAAAAATGTGTTAAAACACCAAACTGAATCTAACAGCACATGTTTCTTCTTAATATCATTATATTCTAAAATCTATCAATGTTAATAGGTCGTTTGTAAAAGATATGACAGGTAAGGGTGCAGCTTACATGTAGTTCAGAAGTCAGAACCTTCAGTAACACTTAGTAATTGGACCAAACCTGAAGCTAAGTATAGGTAACCAACCCTTGATCTGCACCTAGGCTCTAGTCCGTCAATTGCCACCTATGTTCATTTTCACTCTTAGGCCTTCCCTAATTCCACTCAGATTCTGTCTAATTTGGAGTAATCCGTGTCGAGGACCTACTACACTAGGCCTCAATTTGTTCTCCACCCAGTGCTATTTAATATTGAGATGAAAAAAGAAGTATATAGAAAACTTGAGTTGGCCATAAATTATACGTGTCGAATTTGGTCATTATATTATTAGTAAAGATAGCAAAGTTGATTACGGGAACATAAGATTGGTGAGGGGGAAGGCAAATATATACCTTTTCCAAGCATGGGCGTGCATCCTTGAAATCAAGAACCACAAGAACAAGTGCTGCAGTAATTGCAGACCAAGACATGTTCAAACCCATCAACAAAGAGATTAGCATTCCAACAGTAACAAGATAAACACACACTTTCCACACCGCCCTTCTCCACACTTCCAGAGACTTCCCTTTCTCCTCTTGACAAGAAAAGTTCTCGGCTTCACTTACATGATTCGATGAGGGTAACTTTGATGCATCAAGTGACGACGCATTTGAGCTTCGGGCAGAGTTGATCTTATCAATCTCACTCTCACTCTCACTCACACTTCCACGGTTCCTAAGTGTATCAGGATGATTCAAGTGGTCATTGACATTTGGATGTGACATAGTAGCAGGGGAGAAGTGGTGAGAGACAACTTCTTCTTCTGTCACAACTTCTCCACCAGAAGCGTCTTCTTCGTCTTTCTTTACTGACAATAATTTCCAATACATGCACAACAATAAAAATGCATTGACTGATATACCCACTAGCATTGCAGGAAAACTTCCGAGAAAAAACTTGCCGAAAGATATCTTGCTCTTCATTGCTATTACTAAATTTTGGGGATTCCCTATTGGAGTAACCGCAGACCCAATGTTTGCACTAGAAGCCAGTGCTAGTAGGAAGGGGTGGGGTGGGAGGTTTTGCTGCCTGGCAATTTTCAGCACAAACTCTGTCAAAACCACACAAGACGTGTCGTTTGTGAATAGAGCACTGGAAAAGGCTGAGATGAAACAGACTCTCAACAGCAAATCCTTAGCTCCTTTGCTTTTCCATGCCAGCAATTTCCCAAGATACTTAAACATATCTGCCTTTTCAAGATACACACTGACTACCATTGTCCCAAAGAGAAGTCCAAGAATGGGAAGATCTATGGCAGCATATGCTTGATCAGGTGTCAAGATTTGAAAAAGAACCATGAGCATAGCCCCAAGTAAGGACCCAGCGGTCCTTCCTATGGGCATAAATGGAACCGCAGGGAAAACTGCTAACACCCAAAAGATAGCAAAGGCAATCAAGCCAAGAACCACTTTCACAGTTGGAGCCATCACCATATCTCCTTTCCTTTTATTTAGCCGTTCAACAACACTATTAGCTTTCAAATTCCACTTCTTGCGCGGGTCATATTTTATCCAATGACATCTGTAAAAGAACGAACCTTTATCTAACAAACCTTCATAAAACACTAGTGTTACTCCTCTAAGGGTGTAAAATGATGAAATCGCAGGTCTAATATCATACCAGCCTCTATTAAGCTACAATACATGGACTCGTCACTATTAGGAATTTAGGACATTCCTACGTTTGATTCCTAACTTTTATTTTCCACTATTGGTCCTTCAAGGCTACAACTATGAATGTCACCTATGTTGCACGGAAACACGGAAATCAAGAGGAAACGGGAAACATAAACTTTTGCTCAAAAAACACTTGTTTGGAGAGTTTCCGAAAAGGAAACGTGCTCTTTCCCAAGAGTTTCTGTGCCACATAGAATCTCACTCATTATCCCCTGCCATTTGTGGTAATCAACCAAAAATTGCCCTTTTCGGGAAAATCAGCCAAAACATACACATAATTGCTATGTAGCAAGGAAACTCTCATAAAAGAATATGTTCCCGTTTCAAACTCTACGAAAACTCTTTGAAAACTCTCCAAACTAGCTTTTTTTGAGCAAAATGACGTTTCCTATTTCCCGCTTTTTCATGATTTTTGCGTTTCTGCGCAACATGGCATAATTGACGTACCATGAGGGATAAATATCTTGTCTTTATAGTTGTGGGACCAAAGGTGGAATTACTTTCTTTTTACACATATACTTCAAGATCTCTACCATCTTATAATTCGATATAAGGATAAGTCTAAATAACTGGTCCATGACAAACAAACAAACACCTTTGTATTTACTATCCAAACCTTTAATTTCCTCCTGTTTAGCTACCAAAGAGCAACATACATAAACCTCAGACACACACGTCTGAGTAGTTCCTTGTGTACCAAAAGATCAAAGCAGGTCTTCCATTGACTGTCATAAAAATCGAGATTTACAGATAAGGAGGCCAGAAGGAGGGGACAGGGACAGAAAAAATAATTAAACTCACCTGATCCGGTGAAGCTTCGCTTTTCACATTGAAACCGAGAGAAACAAATTCAATAAGCCCTTGAAGTTTTGCATTTGACCTTTAACAGTTTTGCTCAATTGAGATGTTTTAATCAATTCATTTAATAATACAAAATGACTAGTTTCTCTATATTCAAACATTCTTTACGGAATATAAAATGGAAGGCGGCAGGATGTCAATTGGACTACCACTGCTCGCCGATGGGGATGTTCGACTCTCCACCGCAGGAGACTTCGCATAATCCATAACAAAATTGGACGCAACCATGTCAACTCTACTGACGAATTATGAGTCCAGGATACAGCATAAAAAATAGCTCCGGCCAAAATGGGAAAACCACGTTCACCAAGTGGATAATCCTTTTGTTTTCACCCGTAATGGGGCCGCTACTCTGTTTATTTTGTTATAGGCTAAAGGTCAAATAGGTACGTGAATTAAGTTAAAGTAGGGATGGACTGGGCCGGGCCGAACCGGCCCGGAACCGGACCGGCCCGCTACTGTGCGGGCCCGGACCGGACCGGGCCCGGTTGGCCGGTTCCGGGCTTTTAGCCCGTTTTGGCGGGTCGGGCGGGCCGGTTCCGGGCCTTGTTTTTGTTGAACCGGCCCGGGCGGTTCGGGCCGGGCCCGGTTCATTTTTTTTTTTTTTTTTGTTTTTTTCAATTTTTTTTCTTTTCCTAGGGTAGGGCTGGGTGTTTTAGGGAGGTTTGGGGCATGGGGGTGAGGGGGGGGGGGTAGGGAGATAACAAGAAAGTCAAAAAAAAAAAAAAAAAAAAAACATTGAACCGGGCCCGGCCCGGCCCGGCCCGGTTAGGCCCGGACCCGGTATCAACCCGGGCCGGTTCCGGGCCCATGTAACCCGAAAAAAAGCCCGCCCGGGCCCGGCCCGGAACCGGAACCGGCCCGGCCCGGGTCCATCCCTAAGTTAAAGTGTTCAATTAGACCTTATATAGGAGATTCTGTCCGGCCGTCTCCAATTAAGGCGGTTTCTGGTGTAATTTTTTGATGAAATTTTTTGAGAATCTTCTTCATTAAGTCTAGTTTATCCATACCAAATTTCAGCTAAAAATTCAACCAGGAAGGCAGCCAAATGATTTTTTGAAGATAACTGCGCAGTTAAACAGCGAAGTACATTTCGGAAAATCATTTGACTACCTTCCCGATATTAATTTTTAGCTGAAATTTGATATGGGCAAACTCGACTTAATGAAGAAGATGCTCAAAAAAATTCATCAAAAAATTCCACCGGGAACCGCCCCAAATCCCAATTGGCGACGGCCAGGCAGAACCTCCTATATAAGGGGCTATTTGACCCTTTAGCCTTTGTTATATTTTACTCACTTCTCATCCCGAAATCGCAAACTTTGATTAGCATTAAAGAATTACAACAAATGATGCTTGTTTTTTATATTTTTGTTCATCTTCTTAAAAGTAGATGCCTTTAAGTAAAAAGAAGAGTAAACTTGTTACTTTATTCTTACTTACATACCTAAAATAGAAAGTGTAAAATCATTTTGAGACAAGCAAAATGGGAAATTTTGCAAATTAAATTGGGACAGATGGAGTATATTACATTCTCCCCTATGTCCCACTTGATCAAGGAGCCCGATATCAAGCTCTATCAGACTCAATCTATTTTACGTTCAGAATCTTTGGGAGATAATTTGGATTTTATTTCAGTTTCAGATGAAGGATCTTCAGAATATGACTCAGATCAAGAACGGCTTGCTCGACCAAGTGACCCTAATTATAAAACGGCTACTCAACTTAAGTTTAGACGAAGCACTCGACTTCAAGCTAAAAAAGGATTAAGGGTGCAGATCATTAGCGTGTTATTTTAATAACTTTATGTTACTTTTTTAACTTTCTACCTTCATTAGTGTCTAGACCTTAATAAAATTTTTATTTTTGCTGCAAAAAAATGTGGTTTTTTTTAGATTTCCTATAAATCTTGAGTTGCGTGTTCTGAGCTTCAAGTATACCCTCTTGAGCATTAAAAACTTGCTTCGAAATTTCTACTCTCATATATATATAATGTGGTAGTATATACTTTTGAAATATGCATTGATCTGACATTATAAAATGAGCATAACACCGACATCAAAGAAGCATACATAACTTACAAAATGCATATCGAAAAATCCGAAACCTCATTTGAAATCTCTAATGTACTCAAATTTATTGTGTCATTTTATAAAGTTTAACTCATGCACATTTATTTTTAACACAATACTCATTTTAGTATAACATAAAACTCATTTAATAGTCTCCACATAGTAGTGCACTAGTGCTTAGGATTTTTTTACTTGGACTGAAATTTGCCGGTCTGGTCTGGTAATGTCTAGTCTCTGTGTATTTTTATAACTATCCAAGTCTGGTTGGGTATGGTCTGAACTGGTCTGATCTAATTTGATCTGGTCTGGGACTGAAAACAGTCCAAGTAAAGACATCTTCTTTGGGAAAAGTTCGGAAAAAGTACTTGTGGTTGGGCCACTTTCAGATAGGGTCATGTGTTTCAATTTTTAGCAAAGAGGTTCATGTGTTTGAATTCCGTTATCACAAGAGGGTCACACCGTTAAAAACCCTAAGAAAGACGGTTAATAGTAACCTCGATTTCCAAATGTGCCCAAAAAAACTAAAAGAAAATATCGTAAGGTGCGCCTCAACAAGATGACCGTTAGGTCATCTGTCTTTTTCATTTCCAGCCACCCTTGTCACTAGAAAGTCCATCGGAAAAATGATATTAGCGAAATTATTTTGACAAGGCGCACCTTCCGTTTTTTTATTTTCCGGGCATTTTTGAAAATCGGAGTTACTATTAACTTTCTTTCTCAAGCGTTTTTAACGGCATGACCCTCTTATGATAACAGAATTCTAACACATGAATCACTTTGATAAAAACGAAACACATGACCTCATCTGAAAACGGGTCCAATCACAAGTATATTTTCAGTACTTTTCCCTAATTCTTTTAAGCTTTAAACTCACTGAAGTATAATAAAAAAAAACTCAGTTCCATAGTTCCATATCAACAATACACATAATATATCAGCTGCAAATAAACATATTAAATTAATCATATTATCACTACATTGTCATACATCTAAAATATTTATTATGTTGATAAGCTTATTAGACAAGTGAGCTTATTGTACATACCTACTAGGTATGCAATTAACGGACAATGATGGATGGAATAGGAAGGATTGTTGTTTTTTCTTGAACATACATAAGATGATTGCTTTTAAATAATTATGTGTAATGTATATGATAGACTAATTTTTTCACTAATCCCAAATGTCTGATTTTTTGTGTAATAAGTCAACAAATTTTAATATTCATAGCTTTATTGTACGGGTTTTAACCAACTATATTTGAAGTCAGACCTAACCAATAGTACTAAGAGAGTGTTTCGAATTGAATGTGCTTTAAAAAATCACTTTTAAATGATTTTGGAAAAGTGTTTAGTAATAAAAGTTGGTAGTGTTTGAAAAAAATGATTTTGAAAAGTAAAAATTGGTAGTGTTTTGATAAATAATGTGTTTTTTGTGTAATAGAAAAGATAAAAGGCAAATTCCAGCTTTTAGTTTTCAATTGGTCTTACCATCTATCAATCTTAACTCTTTGCATCATTGGGAATTGATCTTCGCTATCTCTTGCATGAGGAAGATTTTACAACAAACCACATCCTCACACGTAATATTGCTGCTAATGCTATTAGCCTTGGAGTTGATGTCGAATTTTCCAATTTGTTAAAACATTCTCAAATTTGATGCCATCACTTATCCTTATGTTGTTTAAATTTGTATTGTCTTGCTTTTGGTAGGTTTTGGCTCTATGTCCTACCTTGTATCCTTATCTTTTACCCTCTAATAAATTGGTAAGGTGTTCTCCGGCTCTTACCCCATCATATGATGATTTTCCAATGGGTAAAAAACAAAAACAAAAGTTGTCATTTGAAAACACTGTTATCAACTTTTTAAGCAAAAAACTGAAAATCATTTTTTTAATCTTTTGCAAACATACCCTAAAGACCCGACCGGAATATGTTATATTATTGCCAAATATGACATACACAATCGATATTACTAGTGATAAAGTAAACTCATTAACAAAAAAGCATGTAAACAATACAAAGTAGTAGCCCGATCATTTAAGGATTTAAGTAAAATCATTTTAAGGATTTAAGTAAAATCATTTTAATGATTTTACTAGTTTTAAGGTAATACAAGAAGATTTTAAGCTTTTAATTTGAGTGATTTTACTAATTTTATATTTTTTTTTCATGTTTTTTAGGTTTCTCATTTCTCCGTTTTTGCCAAAGGACCTTCGACGTTATTTTTTCTTTGTGGTCATCCAGTAGAACGGTGTTTTCGTGTTTGTCTGTGTCGAGGGTCTGCTGCAGAACATGATAAGTGATGAGGATTCTGGATGAGTCATATTTAGTTTACAAATGTATGTGTAGGGATTAACGAATCATATTGCTTTGGATTTGGGCTGGATAGGGCTGGGTAGGGCTGGGCTCAATACAAAAATTTCATTAATGTGTCGGGCCGGGCTTTGGTCATAAAATTGCAATCCTAACCCGTCCATATACTTTGGTGGCCTAAGGGGTCTAGCTGGCCCGGCTCACATGTCACTAATACGGCTGGGTCAAGATGGGCTAACATGAAAATAAAAAAAGCATTTACATATATCACAAAATATATTGTAATCGGCTTAACCAGTGAAAAAGAATTTATTATTCCAAATGAAGCAATAATAATAAAATTAAAGTTTAATATCATCTATATCTAAATTTTTAGTAGTACACTCTTGAAATAACTCTTGAAATAGAGATGTACCACAACCACATGTAATTTTCTATGGGATAAGACTCAAATTGAACACCATGGTTTCATCAGAATCTCATATTGGACACTAAGGTTTCAAATGGACCAAATTAGACACTATGTTTTCATATATATCTCATATTGGACACTAAAGTTTCATAATTCATAGTTTTTGGACACTCACTTATATTGGATAAAGATCAAATTGGACACTCACTTATATTGAATAAGAAGATGTGATCTGAGTCCTTTTTAATTGTTGCATTGAGTAATTAGAATCAGCGGTGTTAGACTGCACACTCCTGGTCTACAACATTTGTTTTTCTGTAGAATTCATAAAACTCAAAACCGAAGCTCATAAATTTGCCATTTTCACATAAACCGTAGCCTCGTCCATACCCATTGAGATAAACCAATCTTTAATGGAAATAAATTTGAAACGGGAATCAGTTAAGATCTGGGGTTCCATCCGGTGTGGGACATTTAACACCCCTTCTCACGACCAGACACTTTGTCTGAATCGTGCCATCATTCATTTTTTCATA